AGGGCAGCCAGAGAGAAAGGTCGGGTTATCCACAAAGGGAAGCCCATCAGACTCACAGAAGGTCTCTCTACAGGAACCCTACAAGCCAGAAGAGAGTAGGAGCCAATATTCAACATTCTCAAAGAAAAGAATTTTCAACCCAGAATTTTATATCCAGCCAAACTAAGCTTCATAAGTGAAGGAGAAATAAAATCCTTTATGGACAAGCAACAGCTGAGAGATTTCATCACCACACAGGCTGCCTTACAAGAGCTCTTGAAGGAAGCACTAAACATGGAAAGAAATTAACTCCAGGCTGATTAAAGATTTAAACATAAGACCTAACACCATAAAAACCCTAGAAGAAAACCTAGGCAATACCATTCAGGACATAGCATGGGCAAGGACTTCATGACTAAAACATCAAAAGTAATGGCAACAAAAGCCAAAGTTGACAAATCAGATTCAATTAAACTAAAGAGCTTCTGTGCAGCAAAAGAAACTATCATTAGAGTGAACCGGCAACCAAGAGAATGGGAAAAAATTTTTGCAGTCTACCCATCTGACAAAGGGCTAATATCCAGCATCTACAAGGAACTTAAACAAACTTACAAGAAAAAAACATACAACCCCATCCAAAGTGGATGAAGGACATGAACAGACACTTCTCAAAAGAAGACATTTATGCAGCCAACAAACATATGAAAAAAAGCTCATCATCGCTGGTCATTAGAGAAATGCAAATCAAAACCACACTGAGATACCATCTCATGCCAGTTAGAATGGTGATCATTAAAAAATCAGGACATAGATGCTGGAGAGGATGTGTAGAAAAAAGAATGCTTTTACACTGTTGGTGGGAGTGTAAATTAGTTCAACCATCGTGGAAGACAGTGTGGTGATTTCTCAAGGATCTAGAAATAGAAATTCCACTTGACCAGCAATCGCATTTCTGGGTATATACCCAAGGATTATAAAGCATTCTATTATAAAGACACATGCACACATATGTTCGTTGTGGCACTGTTCACAATCGCAAAGACTTGGAACCAACCCAAATGCCCATCAATGATAGACTGGTTAAAGAATACACAGAACATATACACCATGGAATACTATGCAGCCATAAAAAAGGATGAGTTCATGTCCTTTGCAGAGACATGGATGAAGCTGGAAACCGTCATTCTCAGCAAACAAACACATGAACAGAAAACCAAACACCACATGTTCTCACGCATAAGTGGGTGTTGAACAATGAGAACACATGGACACAGGGAGGGGAACATCACACACCAGAGCCTGTCATGGGGTGGAGGGCTAGGAGAGGGATGGCAGGGATTGGGGGTCTAGGGGAGGGCTAGCATTAGGAGAAATACCTAATGTAGATGATGGGGTGATGGATGCAGCAAACCACCATGGCACATGTATACCTATGTAACAAACCTGCATGTTCTTCATGTGTACCCCAGAACTTAAAGTATAATAATAATAATAAATTAAAAAGAAATTTCAAGGCCAGGTGTAGTGGCTCACACCTGTAATCCCAGCACTTTTGGAGGCTGAAGCAGGCAGATCACTTGAGGTCAGGAGTTTGAGACCAACCTGGCCAACACAGTGAAACTCTGTCTCTACTAAAAATAAAAAAATTAGCCAGGCATGGTGGCAGGCACCTGTAATCCCAGCTACTTGGGAGGCTGAGGCAGAAGAATCTCTTGAACCTGGGAGGCAGAGATTGCAGAGAGCTGAGATTGTGCCATTGCACTCTAGCCTGGGTGACATCTCAAAACAAACAAACAAACAAAAAACATTTAATTATATTTAGAAGGCACTCTAATCCCCTTTGAATGCCTAAATTCCACTGTTAAAGCAATAGACATGTTTTTCATATCTCCTTTTTTGTTTCTCCTATATTGACAGTCAAGACTGAAAAACACCTTAGCACTTTATCCAAATTTTACAGATGGCATGGAGGCTCAGAGAAAGCAAGCTACCTTCTCCATATCACACAGCCACCCAGTGGTAGAACCAAGACCCCAATCCAGGTTATAATAGGTTGTAGTATTGTTCAAGATACTTGCTGACCCTCCAAAGAGAAAGCTTACACAACTCCTACAAGAATAAGCTTGGTCCTTGTGCCTTGTGGTGCCCCTCCCTGTGGAGTAGGGCATATGCCACCGTCACTACCCACACTGTAGAGCCCAGGAGTGGCCAGGCGATTTGTTTTGCTCATGAAATGTGGGTGAAAGCAGCATGTATCACTTCTGGTTGCCATGTCTGATTATCCTCTACCACAAAATGTGACGTTCCTGGCAGAGACTGCTCTGTTCCGCTGGGTCCCAGAGTGAAGAGGATAAGCACACCTGTGATGGACGTATCACATGAGCAAGAAATAAGCCAGTGAAGTCTGGGGGCTTTTGTTACTGCAGCATAACTGAGTCCACCCTGACCAGTCCTCAGGCTTTACAACCCAGGCACTGATCTTTCTCACTGGGATGGCCCTTCCAGCAGTGTTGCATGGAATTTAACAGCACATATTTTATTTTTATTTTATTTATTTCTGTAGTGATAAGGTCTCACTGTACAACCCAGGCTGGTCTCATACTCCTGGAAGAGCACACTTTTTAGAGTCAACCTGCCTGGATTTAAATCTCACTAGTGGCTGACCTTGGTCAAGTTACTTTCTCAATGCCTCAGCTTTCTCAATACAAGGATAACGCTCTTACTATGTCAGTCTATTCAGGTTGATGTAACAAAATATCTCAGACTTGGTAATTTATACACACCAGAAATTTATTGCTCACAGTTTTGGAGGCTGGGAAGTCCATGGTCAAGGTGTACCATTGGGGTTCAGTGATTCAGGGTGCCCTCAGCTCCCCTGAGAGAACGTTTCTCCAGGTTCTTGGTCTCCTGCCCTCTCAAGAATGAGAGAAGGGACCACGGCGCAATGCGCAGTAAATGCCAGACTCAAAAGCGGACCTAATCAAACTTCATAGCTTCTGCACGGCAAAAGAAACAGTCATTAGAGTGAATCGGCAACCAACAGAATGGGAAAAAATTTTTGCAGTTTACCCATCTGACAAAGGGCTGATATCCAGAATTTACAAAGAACTAAGCCAGATTTACAAGAGAAAAACAAACAATCCCATTCAAAAGTCGGCAAAGGATATGAACAGATACTTTACAAAGGAAGACATACATGAGGCCAACAAACATATGAAAAAATGCTCATCATCACTGGTCATCAGAGAAAAGCAAATCAAAACTACATTGAGATACCATCTAACGCCAGTTAGAATGGCGATCATTAAAAAATCTAGAGACAACAGATGCTGGAGAGGTTGTGGAGAAATAGGAACACTTTTACACTGTTGGTGGGGGTGTAACATAGTTCAACCATTGTGGAAGACAGTGTGGCGATTCCTCAGGGACCTAGAAATAGAAATTCCATTTGACCCAGCAATCCCATTACTGGGTATATATCCAAAGGATTATAAATCATTCTATTAAAAGGACACATGCACACGAATGTTCATTGCAGCACTGTTTACAATAGCAAAGACCTGGAAGCAACCCAAATGCCCATCGATGATAGTTTGGACAGGCAAAATGTGGCACATGTACACCATGAAATATTATGCAGCCATCAAAAACGATGAGTTTGTGTCCTTTGTAGGGACATGAATGAACCTGGAAACTATCATTCTCAGCAAACTAACACAAGAGCAGAAGATCAAACACCGCATGTTCTCACTCATAGGTGGGTGTTGAACAATGAGAACACATGGACACAGGGAGGGGAGCACTACACACTTGGGTCTGTTGGGGGGAATAGGGGAGGGTCAGTGGGGGGTGGGGATTGGGGAGAGATAGCATGGGGAGAAATGCCAGATATAGGTGATGGGGAGGAAGGCAGCAAATCACACTGCCATGTGCGTACCTATGCAACAATCTTGCATGTTCTTCACATGTACCCCAAAACCTAAAATGCAATAAAATAAATTTTTAAAAAACTGTTTGTAGAAAGTGATTTATTTAGAGAGAGTGAGAGAAACAGGAGGAGGAGAAAGAAACCGCCAACTCTCACACTGAGTGAGAGAATCCAGAAAGATGGAATCCAGGAGAGGAAAGCAGCTTCCACACTGAGTGGAAGGGAATAGAGAGAGATGGAGTTTAGGAGGGGAGAGATTTTAGGAGGGTGAAAGCCCAATCCCCATGGGTAATGTCTCCTATGTCTCCTCACATGGAGGAAGTGGTGAACAAGCTTCCCAAGCCTCTTTTATGAGAGCAATCCTATTCATAAGGGCTCCACCCTCATCACTTAATTAATCACCTCCTACAGGCCCTACCACAATGCTATCACATTGAGGATTATGTTTCCACATGTGGATTTGGGGGGACACAAATGTTCAGATCATAACAGGTACCTACCCCACAGGGATATGGTGAGGATTTAATGACCTAAGTCTGTGCTTCGAGGAATTTGGCTAAAGGGCTACTGTTATTCCACATAGTCTTCCCTTAGCTGACATGCCAGTGACAGCAAGGGGTTGGGGTGGGAGCAGGGTTTGCTGAGATGATGTGTCTTGTACATGCAAACAGCCAAACCCTCAGAAGTCACTCTACCCCATGGGTGATGCTGACGACCATCACTGTCCCTGCAACAGGCCAAGGGGAAAGGACAGGAGGGGCTCTGTTGTGAAGGGGTTGGGAGCAGGGCCTGTGGAGTCAGATTGGTTAGGATTCAAGTCCTATCTCCGTCTCTTCTTTCCTGGGCATCTGTTGATAAGTTACAAACCTCAGTGAGCCTCCATTCCCATCTTACAGGGTGAGGTGAGGATTCAGTGAAATAATCCATGAAAAAGAACGCTTGTCACAGGGCCTGGCACACTGCAAGTTCTCAGTAAACATCAGGATCAATGTCAGTGTTCTTCTTTTGCCAGAGTAAACTAAAGCAAGTGTGGGCAGAACAGGAGTCACAGGAGGTGATTCGTCTCTCAAGGCATCTGAAGGAGCAGCAGGGATCACTGTAGCTTGTCTGCTGTCCTCATGGAAACATCACCTCTTGAAATCACAGACAGATTGTCTGGGGCTGGTGTCAAGTTGGTAGAAAATAAAGCATCCCTCCCTGACAGCTGGTATGGATTGCACAACTGGTATGGAGTCCCACAGTCAGCACAGACTGTCAAGTCTGCTTGCCATATTGGGGAAGTTATTGGATGTCCATAAAGGTGACGCCTACAGCCAGCTGGGAGCAGCTGCTCAGGACCCTGTGGATGTGATCTTAGATCAGGGTCACATGCCATGGGGGAAAGCTGAGATCAGACAAAGATACACTGTGTCCCTTCACAGTGAGATCCACACTTGGCCTGGGGTTGCCCATGGAAAGAGTCCCCTGGCTCACATCCTTCTCAGCCACGTGTCTTAGTGCACCCTCTGCTGAGGACAGGATCCATCACTGCCAAGCTGCTGGGCCAGGGCTTTCACACACTTGGCAGCCTGTAAGCTCTACCTGAGGTCAGGTGTGCTCGCTTCCCCACTGGTTGGGTAGACCCTTGCCCAGCCCTGGCCAGAGGAGGGCTGGAGAATAATCGGTTGGAGGTGAATCTCACATGCCCAGCCCTTGAATTGCTGGCTGTGGGCTTGTTGGCCAGAAGTCCAGATTAAACTCTTAATGAGCACACACACCTGGGGGGGTGTCCACCAGGGTCCACGGCTGTGTTTGAGTGAGTTCATTAGAGGCTGTCATTCACAGCTGCCACAAGTGTTTCCTGAGTGCTTCCAGGTGCCAGGCACTGCTTCCTCCACATCTGGGGGGCAAGTATGTGACCAACACTCAGAAAGGGAGTGGGGTGGAGGGGGTCATCTGGAAGCTTTGCTGACCACACTGCCCTGAGCTGTATTTAGAGCTTAGCCTGGGGCCTCAAAAGCAGGCCCAGGGAACCCCATGAGGCCTTCATTCCTGACGAATGAGAAACAGCCAGAACTGCCGGCATGCCCCCTGGTGACTGCTGAGCAAGAGCTTGTCGGATAGTCTATATATTTTTTTCTCAAATGTCATCATGAATTAGCAGCGCTCACTCCTGGGGCTGCTAGGAATACGTCTTTACTGCTTCCATCAGAACCAGCCTTGAGGTTAGAGAAAAAGGCTTTTATTTGGTAAGCAACTGTGAGGGTTCATTACTGAGTCAAGGGAGAAGGCAACGAGGACCTAGGAGAGGAAATAGTACCGAAATCAGAATATCTTCAGTGAAATCATTGCAAGGCAACACTTCGGGATAATTTCCTACTGCATTTCAATGACCAATAAAGAAGATATAAAAATGTCATTTATAGAGAAACTCCAGCATTTTGTTTTCCTGATTATTCTAATAGATCAATTGAAACATATAATATGATTTTAAAAAATTTTTTGGCCAAACATTGTAATCAGTCTTTTACACTACAGATCTGTGTAGTTAGCTGCTTGTCACCCAGTCAAGATGGAACTGAGTGGGGTTAAATGGGAAGAAAATTCTGCTTTTTTTCCTTCTGATAATAGGCAAAAAAAAAACCTTTACAAACTCCATCTTAAGACATTTTCCCATTCTGTTTATTGTGACTGGCTTCTAATTGAAAGTTACAATATTTTCATTCTCAGGCACTGGGGTGGCTTTGGTTTAGGGAGGTTAAGGGCAGTTTGTTAATTCATTAGCTTTGTCTGCCTTGGTTCACCACCCAAAACCAACCCCAATCTCACCAAGTGGGGTGAGGTGGCACGGGCTGAGTAGGGCAGTGGGGACAACTTTGGCCCCAGCTCACTCCATGGGTGGGAGGGGCTGGAGACCAGGGCTTCGGAGGGAACAGCGCCTCCTCCTGAAGACCCCTCCTACTCATCTCACAGAGCCTCTTCCTCCTCTAGAATCTGCCGCCAGAACTCCTGCAATATCTTCTGCTGCTAGTAACATCGCAAATGCAGAATCTGGCTTCTCTGTAAGGATTTTAGGCTTGTCAAACTCAATCACCTAACAGTAAGAGAAGAAGAACTGAAATCGTTGGAAAATATCTACCCACTGTAAAGCTTGAACCACTGAACTTTCCGGGGAGGTGAAGCCAAAAGGGCTTCCTGTACCTTCCCATCTTCCAGGATGTGATTGCAGTTGAGAACCAAGTTGAGGCAGTGGGTGATGGTCAGCACCTTGCAGGCTTTGAAGGCATCTTTGATGGTGTTCTGAACCAGGGCGTCAGTCTTGGAGTCCATGGAGGCGGTGGCGTCTTCATCAAGGAGAATGATCTGTCAAGGAGGGAACATTGTATAGGTCACACTAAGCCAAAGGCACACTGAGAGGGAAATTTATAGCCATGGCTCTGTTTATTTTTTAAGAAAAGAAGAAGAAAAAGAAGACCACAAAATGAAAAGTAATTAGCTAAACATCCATCTCAAAAAAAATGAGAAAATGAAGAGTGAAATAAAAGTCACATCACATCACTTCCATCTTCCCAGAGGAACTTCCCAGAGGAACAAGGTCGTATTGTGATATTGTGCTGGCCTAGAGCCAGAACCAGAGCAAAACTATTTTATAAAATACAAAACTGTTTTTAGATAAGTTGAAATGGCTGCCCCATTCTCCTCACAATAACTACTGTCCTTGGCCTCTGTAAATAGAACTGCCAGTTTGTTCTTCAAAACTATGTAAAGCTGCTTACCTTTTCTTATCAGTAACTGCTCTCTGTGGCCCTAATGTGACAGGCAAGCAGTCCTAACCCATGCCATCTTGGCTCCTGCGACTTGTAATAAGTAACTAAGGTCTGTGATTTCCACCTTAACCAGATAATGTGTAAACAAATGTTTATCTTGACTTCTGTAAACCACTTAAGTAACAAACGGAATGACAAAAGTCCCCTTGGCCCTTGGAATGTCCGGAGACCCCCACCCTCATCTCTGCCCAGGAGGTAATTTACAGAATCCACTAGCCCTCGGAATGTCTGAAGCCTTTTCATCCCCATCCCTGCCCCTCACCCCCACTCCCAAGGTGGTTTTTCGGGTATAAAAAATCGTGGCACCCTCCTGTTGCCACCACAGGTTGGAGAGACGTGAGTCCTCTGTGGTCGCCGGCATAAATAAATGACCCTGCAATCTGGCATACTTTTGTCTTGTGATAACTTTCTACATTCGGTCAAATACAACAGTATATCCTTTACTCCTCTTTTTAAGTGGTTTATTCTAACCCTACAAACTGTAGGGAGACACTGCACAGGCTTTATCTACTGTGCTAACCTGAGTTGGCATGAAGTACAACAGCACTTATATTCATTCCCTATGTTGCTGTCATACCAAATGATCACAAACTTAGAGATGCAACCTAAATTTATCTTCTAGTTCCAGAAGTCAGAAATCCTAATATCAAGGTATTGTCAGGGCTGCATTCTTTCGAACCACTTGCATTCCTTGGCCCACAGCCCCTCCTGGGATCACAGCTCCTTCTCCGTCTTTGACTCTTCTGCTTCCTCCTGGGAAAGACCCATGTGAATACGCTAGGACCACCCAGATCTAGAATCATCTCCCGATCTCATGATCCTATCTCATGATAGTAAGTTAATATATTAAAAGGCTTGGAGGAACATATTCACAGGTTCCAAAAATCAGGACATTAACATCTTTGGAGCAGATTCGATTTAGCAAATCAGAGCATTTGAACTTAACCCTGACTCTGCTTGACCAGCTAAGTTACTTAATTTCCCCAAGGCTCTGTTCCCTCAGAGGTGAAAGGGGGCTATGCCTTATTGATCAGCTGGAAATGGAGATGACACTTTAACCACTTAGCAGCGTGCAGTGCCATGGCAGGCATTGGATCCATGCCGGTCCCTCTCCCTTGACATTAGCACATCTAGAGAACACACACAATGGGTCACACCTTTGATGAGGCTTCAGAGAATGGAATTACTAGAGCAACAGCAATCCCTTCCCCGCAATCAGCAAGTAAAGGTGGCTAAGTCACAAAGAACAATATGTGTAAATTCTACAGTTTCCGTATCCTAGCATTCTGATGGCCCTCTTGAGCATCCTGTGGACAGCGTATGGAGATTCAGTATTGTTCAGAGACAATGAGATAAAGTTAAGAGACAGATTTTTCAAACTCAAACCACTTAGGCGAGCAGAGTGAAAACCTAGGCGAGACCTCCCCAGGGGAGGCCTGGGAGAGGAAGGTGCTCTTGCTGTAAATGGCTGTTACTTTTCAATTTTTAACCTCTAACAATTTGTCTTAAGAAAAAGTGATCGGTTTTTAAATGGCTCAATTGTTCTCTCTTTGCTGAAAGGCAAACACATGGCACTACTTCCTGGATTGAGTGGCGCTGCAGGAAGTATCCAAAATTTGACTAATCCATTTCCCGTGTTTTCTTACCTGTGAATTACGAAGAAGAGCTCAGGCCACACAAAGCAGCTGACATTCCCCTACTGAGAAGTTTTCTCCATTTTCTGCGACTTCTGCCTATCATTTTTCTGGGAGTTTCATTATCTACAAAACTCAGAAAATGCCACATTTGTACTGATGATCTATAAAATTGTCCTATGCTGCCTGTATTGATTGCCCCCTTCTCTTGCATTCATCTGCTTGCTTTATTTTAGTGTGGCAAAGAAAGTGCAAAACAACAATCATTTCAATATTGCAAACAGGCACCAGGGAAAGACCAGAGAGTAGGCGGACATTAATAATTTAAAATCACAGTATGACTCATAGAACCCCATAGACAATTCACCAAAAGAACAAATGATGCACATGCAGTTCCAGAGAGCACAAAAACAAGTGGAAATGGGTTCCTGGATTGCCATTTCCATGAACAAAATAGAGATGGGTTGTAAAGTTTTCTGGACATTAAGGAAGGGTAAGACTTATCCAGAGCAACAAGCCAAAGTAGCCTTGGAAGATGCTCATATTGGGACCAAGTCCTGGAAAAGTATCCCTTTGGGCTGCAGAGGTGGCCGTGTTCACCTGCTGACCCCAGCTGGGGTTGTAGCTCTCCTAGGACAGGGCCCCCTCTCACAGGTGATTCAGTCCTCTCCAACCAGCCATACTTGCCATTCCCAGAATATTTCACACCCTCCCGTTTTCTGTGGCTTGTCTGCTCTGATAAGCAAAGGAGGCCATTGGCAAAAGAGCAGGGCCTTCCATCTGCTCTAGAATCAGACAGGCTTGAGTTCAAGTCTCCATCCTGCTGCTCACTAGCCTGGGCATGTTACTTCTCTGAGCTGTAATTTCTTCATCTCTAAAATTAGAGGTGAGAGTGAGTACCAACCTCAGAGCACTGTAGAAGGATTAAGTGAGATAATACGTGTAGGCCTCTTGACTGGATCATTGTAGAGCCCTATTTTTGCTTTTAATAGGAAAGAGTTAAGGCAAGTTCTTAATGACTTATAAAGAGACTTAGACTCCCAAACGACAATAGTGGGAAACTTTAACATCACATTGTCAATATTAGACAGATCAACAAGACAGAAAATTAACAAGGATATCCAGGACTTGAACTCAGACCCGGAACAAGTAAACTTAATAAACATTTACAGAACTCTCCATCCCAAATCCACAAAACATACATTCTTCTCAGTACCACATCACACCTACTCTAAAAGTGACTACATAACTGGAAGTAAATCACTCCTCAGTAATTGCATAGCATTTCACAGGTTTAAATGAAATATTGGTTGGCTGCTTGTTTGTTATTTTCCTCCCTTATTCCTTCCTGTCTCCATTGTTAAGCACAATTATTGGCATAAAAGAGGTTTTCAATACCCATTTTTAGACTGCATTCTAACCTGGGCAATAAAGCAAGACTCCTGTTCTCTCTCCCTCTTTCTCTTCCTCTTTCTTTCTCTCTTTCATTCTTTTCTTTCTTTCTTTTTTTCTTTCTCTTTCTTTTTCTCTCTCTTTTAAAAAAAATAGGAAAGAGTAACTAAGGATTATGTTCTACTGACTTCTATGGTATCCACACATAAACCCAGCCAAGTGCTGGCCTCGGTGCTTGTCAAATTTAAACCTAGGCCAGGAATCTAGGTCAGTGGTTCTGGGAAACAAACTCCTTCTCAACAGCCCCAGAGACCTGCTGTGTCTCTCATGAACAATCTTTCCAGAACCTGCCAGAGCATCTCGGTGTGACTCTCAAAGGGATCCAAGTTGGACCTGCAATGAAGGAGAGGAGAGGGAGCCAGATTTCCAAGGACGAGGGGATGGGTGGGGAGCAGATTTTCTGCAGCACATGGAGGAGGGTAGGAGGCGGCATGTGATAACCCGTGCTCTAAGAATAGTGCTCAGTCCAGGACAATAGTCCATAAAATATGGATCTCAGGCCACAAGACCAGGGGCCCACAACTCTGCAACAGAGCAGAGACCATGAAGGCAGGCAATGACAGGTGGAACCCTGCCGAAAGGCAGCACTGAGCAATGTGCTCAGAAAGACACACCTGGGCCTCTCAGCAGCCCTGAGTAGCAGAGTGGGTTTGAACTGATATCAATTCTTGGCAGAGAGAGAGGGAGAGTTAGCAACCCAAATCTGCCACCCCAGGCATCGGCAACTCCAGGGCCTCACAGGGTGCTGAGCAGCTCAAATGTAGAATGTAAATCTACTGTTTCAAGAGGCAGAATGCATTTTTCAAACAATGAACTCTAAATACAGTAAATACAGTTCTCTTACTTCATCTGGTGCTCTATGGGAGAAACGTCCCTCTCATTACCCCCCACTGCACTAGCTAACAGAAAACTGGCTTTTCCCTTGTGCATTGATATCAGATCTGGAGCCCCACGGAAGTTGCAGCCCTACTGTTCTTGTGCTTGAAATAGCTTCTGTTCACTTAGTTGCGGAAATAAATGGATGCACTTCACAATGGATAGTCATATACATGGGTAACTATTTATTTTATTGTGCAAACTGGGACACTTTTCAGAATGCCCATTGCTAAGCCTAATGGGATGCTTGGACACAGGCATAAACTCGGTCTGTCCAGAGCCACTGGAATATCTGCTCAGTGTATGAATGAGTATAGAAGCATCTTGTTCATTAATAATGTGTTTATAAAACACAAGTAATGCTCAGAGCCCTGGGCCCTGACTCCTCCCAAGGGTGGATGCAGAAACAGGAACCAGCAGTGCTTGTGAGCCCTCTGGGATGCTGCTTCCCTCAGATAGAACAGCTCCAGGCCAGGCATGCCCTGTGGACATCACAAAGTTCTTGGTCAGTCTGATTTCACTCTCCAAAAATAGGAATGCACAACGATCAAAAACAGCTACCTTGCGGTGCCTAAAAACACGACAGGATCCTGTGGGGTCACAGTCAGCTTGGTTCTGAGGTCCTCCACACTGACAGTACAGATACCCACCTCATCAATGAAGATTGTGCCACTGGCTGGCTCCACCAGACGAAACAAGGCCATTCCTAACGATGACTTCCCTGGGAACCATAAAAGCATGAACAACAAATCAAACATCCGTTTGTGCTTCCATCATATCCAAGCATTTAATTAGTGGGATTTTTAATGAGATGCAAATGGCTCCATAAGGATGATGGTGTGGACAGAAAGTGTCCTCACCAGGGTGGGGTGGAGGGATGGGCTGACCCGACAGTTAACCTGCCCATCCCTGCAGGGGCCCTTAGCACACAACTCATCTCTGGGGCCCTGTTGTACTAGAATGATTGTCATTTAATTAATTCAAAACCTGATGTGTTTGCTTCCATCTCTACACACCCATTCAACCTGAAATTCTAATTTACAGCAAAGAGATTTGAGGGAAATAACAGACAATCTGATACACATACACATCACTCTCTGGTGTGGCTTAACTAGGACATCCAGTGGAAATGCAAAGAAAACAACCTGAAAGAAATAAAAGCAGAGCTTGTCCTCACTAGAACCTGGTCTTCCAACAATCCCGACTGTCTGCCCACTTTGTATGTTCAAGTTCAGGCTGTCAAGAACAAGGGGGTGTCGTCTCTGCATCTCATCTGATAGCCTTTAAATGTGATCTCCCCTCGCTGGGCCAGTCTTTGGAACAAGTCTCCACTGTGAGGGGATAAGTGCATTCAGGAACACAGGTCTGAAAAGGAGAATAACCAGTGACCAGTGAAGAGCCATTTTTTTATTCATTTATTTAACCAATTCATTTGTTGATTCACAAGATTTTGGGTACTGTTATTTGTGGTGATGAAATAGGCCAATAATGGTCCTTAATTCAAGGAACTCACATACCACTGGGGATGTCAGATAATAAACAAGAAAAAAATTAAAAATAAAGACAATAAAACAGAGTATTGCAATAGGATACAGAATGTGATTTATGTGCTGGGCAAGGGGGAAACATGGAGTAAAAGTACTCGTTTGAAGAAGGCACCCATGTGACATTGGACCTGAGGGCTGGAGGACACTGGATCCTGGGAGGATGCCACCTATGAGAGGATGAAGTCCAAAGCCCTCCAGGTTCGGGGTACAGCTAGTGCAAAGGCCCTGGGGCCAGAATGAGCTCGGGCAATTTGAGGAATGTAAAGAAAAATCATGTGGCTGGAGGTTAGCTAATAGAGGGATGGATGACTTAGAGGAATACAGAAGGGAGAGCTCATACTGGGCCTGTGGGCCTGGGAAAATGTCAGAAGCGTAGCTTTGAAGCTATGTGACAAGGCCAGACAGAGCCTTGAGATTTGCAGAACTCAACCAGATATAATTTCAAGATCTGCAAGAATCATCAGCACGCTAGAAGTAGAAAGATGATAAGAATGTAAGATGTCAAGTTCAGAGGTCTTTAGAGATACATGAAAAAAAACATTTGTCTCCTAAGAGTCCAAGAAATGCAAGGTCTAATTAAGGAGGAGGGCAGCTTGGCTTCATTATAAGACTGGCCTCTCCTCTTATGTCCATGTAAACAGCTGGAAATAGGGATCCCGCGTGCCCCCTCAGGGTGGCTCACCAGCCCAAATCTCTACTCAAGAAGCAACTTCGTTTAACTGAGAAAATAATTGTATTGTTAGGAACGAGTATTTTTAATCCCAGAAGATTTAGAAATAAGAATAAAAATATTTAAGAAAAATGAAACTGTAACAGTAATATTTTTAGTTTAAAAAATCTGCATGCTTGATATTTCAAGTATTCTCAATATTAATAGAATTTGGGCTTGTGATTCTAATTTAACATGTATAATTGAATAATTGATTTAAACATGATTTTAAGTTAAAAGTTTATGTTTATGGCATTGGAACTGTCATGAGAACTTAAAGCTTACTATATTTCTAAGTTTAATTTATTAGATTTATGCAAACTCAGGAAGGTTTTCTGTTAAATCAGATCATTGAGGTACTTAAAAAAGTAATCGAATGTATTAAATTTTAAAATGCAGTTTAAAATGTTTTAAAGTGTTTAATTAAGTTTGTAAATGGAGCCAAACACTCTTCAAAGGCACCTAAATGTCACTGCTGGAATTGGCTAGACTTCTTTTCAAAGAATGGCAAGACTTGTCAGTTGCATATCAAAGCTTCTAAAGAAGAGTTAGACTGGGCTTCTGTTTTTTCAACTTATGACTTTAATCAAATAATAATTTTTAACTGAAAAAAATTTTAGAGTCAGGATCTAGCTCTGTTGCACAGGCTGGAGTACAATGGCATCGTCATAGCTTACTGCAGCCTCTAACTCCTGGGCTCAAGTGATCCTCCCTCCCTTCTTAGCCTCCCGAGTAGCTAGGACTATAGATGCACGCCACCGCACATGGCAAATTTTAACTTCTTCTTTTTTTTTTTTTTTTTTTGTAGAGACAGGGTCTCACTATACTGCACAGCCTGGTCTCAAACTCCTGGCTTCAAGCAATCTTCCCACCTCGGTCTCCAAAAGTGTTGAGATTATAGGCGTGAGCCACTGCACCTGGCCAAATATTGACTTTTAGAAGCCAAAGTAAACTACTGAGTTGTATGTTCTTGTGTATCAAAATAGCCCTTAAGGAAACCTTGTTAAAAAGAACCTCACATTCAGCATGAAGGACTTTAGAATGTATTATAAATACAGGTTTTAAGAAGGGGGATGACTTGTCTGATTGTGGGTTTTGTTTTTGTTTTTTGAGATGGAGTTTTACTCTCGTCGTCCAGGCTGGAGTGCAGTGGTGCCATCTCTGCTCAATGCAACCTCCACCTCCAGGGTTTCAGTGATTCTCCTGCCTCAGCCTACAGAGTAGCTGGGATTACCAGCACTTGCCACCATGCCTGGCTAATTTTTGTATTTTTAGTAAAGACAGGGTTTCACCATGTTGACCAATCTGGTCTCAAACTCTTGATTTCAGGTGATCTGCCTGCACCAGCCTCCCAAAGTGCTGGGATTACAGGCATGATCCACCATGCCTGGCCCCGATTTGGGTTTTTTTTAAAAAGACTCCTTTTGCATCTAAAAAGATCCAATATTTGCCCAAGTCCTGCCAAAATTAACTTGTCCCTCCTCTTTGATGCATTAATTTCTTACCGAAATGTATCCCTGAGCAGCTCCACAGAGGTGAATTTGTCTAGGGTCTCTGTTCCTATTTGCACACACACTGGGAGCAGTCCATTCAGCTGTTGAAAAGGAGTGAGTAGCTGCAGCTAGAGCCCCTTCCTCCTTCGGGTTCTGCTGCTCCCTGTTCAGGAGGCAGCCATGGTGAATGACCCCTCTGCTGCCTCACACAGGACAGGCACATACAGGAGGCCTGCCTTCCTAGCCAAGCACCCAGAAGTAGAGCTATTCCTGTTGGGGTGTTTTGCCTTTAAACACTCCCTTAGTATTTAGAAACAAATGGTAATTACATTTTTCCCTGACACTCCAGATGGTGAAAATCATCTCCCCACAGAACCACTTGATCACACACCTCTTTGAGTGGTGGGAATTCTCCCTGGAAGCTGCAAAACTGCTTGATATTGGCCCCTCACTGCCACCTGGCAGGGTCTTGCATCTCAGAGCAGCCTTCCCCCAGCCCCTTGCTCAAAAAGCAGCTGAAAGCCACATCACCATAAGAGACCAGAAAACCATCAAGTTTGTGTTTTTGCAATAGTAATGAGAAAGTTAAGGCTCAGACTGGGGCATGTGACTTGCTAAGGTCACCCACCTTAGGTCTGGATCTCCCAGATGCCAACCCTGAGATTTGACTGCAAGGAGTATCTTAGGGCAGGTTGAATGGTGTCCCCACCCCAAAAGATGTGTCCATGTGCAAATCCTTGGAACCTGCTAATGCTCTCTCATTTGGAGAGAGGATGTTTGCAGATGTTAATAAGGATCTTGAAATCATCCTAGATCATCTGGTGGGTCCTAAGTCCAATGATAAGTGTCCTTATAAGAGACAAAGGAGAAGACACAGAGGATAATGGGACGTGAAGGCAGAGTTGGAGACTGGAGTGTTGCAGCCACAGACAAGAGATGCCAGGGATGGCCAGCAGCCACAGAAGCTGGGAGAGAGAAGAAACAGATTCTCCTGAGAGCCTCTGGAGGGAAGCTGGCCCTGCCAACACATTGAGTCCAGGTGTCCAACCCCAGAACAGTGAAAGAATACCTTCTTTGAGAGATGATCGAAGATGGCTGAATAGAAACAGCTCTGGAGTGCTGTTCCCAGCAAGACCGCAGAGGCCACTGCTGGAGATCCCCAGGCAAGCAGGGTCTGGAGTGGACCTCCAGCAGTCCTGCAGTAGAGTGGCCTGTTAGAAGGAAAACTAAAAAACAGAAAGAAATAACTTCATCATCAACAAAAAGGATGTCTACTCAGAGACCCCATCCAAAAGTCACCAACTACAAAGACAACAGGTAGATAAATCCACAAAGATGGGAAGAAACCAGCACAAAAAGGAAGAAAACACCCAAAACCAGAATGCCTTTCCTACCCCAAGGGATCACAACTCCTCATCAGCAAGAGAACAAGGCTGGATGGAGAATGAGTCTGAAGAATTGACAGAAACAGGCTTCAGAAAGTGGATAATAACAAACTTCTCTGAGCTAATAGAACATATTCTAACCCAATGCAAAGAAACTAAGAACCTTGGAAAAAGGCTTGACGAAATGCTAATGAGAATAAACAACTTAGAGAGGAATATAAGTGAATTGATGGAGCTGAAAAACACAACACAAGAACTTCGTGAAGCATGTACAAGTTTCAGTAGCCGAATTGACCAAGCAGAAGAAAGGATATCAGAGATTGAAGATCAACTCAATGAAATAAAATGAGAAGGCAAGATTAGAGAAAAAAGATAAAAAGAAATGAACAGAGCCTCCAAGAAATATGGGATTATGTGAAAAGACCAATTCTACAGATGATAGGTGTACCTGAATGTGATGGAGAGAATGAATCCAAGCCAGAAAACACTCTTCAGGACATTACCCAGGAGAACTTCCCCAACCTAGCAAGGCAGGCCAATATTCAAGTCCAGGAAATACAGAGAACACCGCAAAGATATTCCTCAAGAAGAGCAACCCTAAGGCACATAATTGTCAGATTGGGTTGAAAAGAAGGAGAAAATGCTAAGGGCAGCCAGAGAGAAAGGTCGGGTTACCCACAAAGGGAAACCCATCAGACTCACAGCGGATCTCTCAGCAGAAACCCTACAAGTCAGAAGAGAGTGGGGGCCAATATTGAACATCCTTAAAGAAAAGAACTTTCTACCTAGAACTTCATATCCAGCCAAACTAAGCTTCATAAACAAAGGAGAAATAAAATCCTTTATGAACAAGCAATTGCTCAGAGATTTCATCACCACCTGGCCTGCCTTACAAGAGCTCCTGTAAAAGGCTCTACACATAGAAAGGAACAACCAATGCCGCCCACTTCAAAAATGTACCAAATGATAAAGAGCATCGACACAATGAAGAAACTATGTCAACTAATGGGCAAAACAACTAGCTAGCATCAAAATGGCAGGGTCAAATTAACACATAAAAATATTAGCCTTAAATGTAAATGGACTAAATGCCCCAATCAAAAGACACAGACTGGCAAATTGGATAAAAAGTCGAAACCGATCAGTATGCTGTATCCAGGAAACCATCTCACATGTAAGGACACACATAGGCTCAAAATAAAGGGATGGAGGAAGATTTACCAAGCAAATGGAGAGCAAAAAAAAGCAGGAGTTGCAATCCTAGTCTCTGATAAAATAGACTTTAAACCAACAAAGATCAAAAGAGGCAAAGAAGGACATTACATAATGGTAAAGGGATCAATGTAACAAGACGAGCTAACAATCCTATATACATACCCAATACAGAAGCACCCATATACATAAAGCAAGTTCTTAATGAGTTACAAAGAGACTTAGGCTCCCACACAATAATAGTGGGAGACTTTAACATTCCACTGTCAATATTAGACAGATCAACGAGGCAGAAAATTAACAGGGATATCCAGGACTTGAACTCAACTCTGGACCAAGCAAACCTAATAAACTCTCCACCCCAAATCCACAGAATATACATTCTTCTCAGCACCACATCACACCTACTCTAAAATTGACCACATAATTGGAAGTAAATCACTCCTCAGCAAATGCAAAAGAATGGAAATCATAACAAATAGTCTCTCAGACCACAGTGCAATCAAATTAGAACTCAGGATTAAGAAACTAACTCAGAACCGCACAACTTCAAGGAAACTGAACAACTGGCTCTTGAATGTTGACTGGATAAACAACAAAATGAAGGCAGGAATAAAGATGTTCTATGAAAACAATGAGAAAGAAGATACAACGTACCAGGATCTCTGGGACACATTTAAAGCAGTGCCTAGAAGGAAATTTATAGCAATAAACGCCCATATGAGAAGGAAGGAAAGATCTAAAATTGACACCCTAACATCTAAATTGAAAGAGCTAGAGAAGCAAGATCAAAAAAACTCAAAAGCTAGCAGAATACAAGAAATAACTAAGATCAGAGCAGAACTGAAGGAGATAGAGACACAAAAAAAAACCTTCAAAAAATTAATAAATCCAGGAGCTGTTTTTTTGAAAAGATCAACAAAATAGACCACTAGCCAGATTAATAAAAAAGAAATGAGAGAGGAATCAAATAGATGCAATAAAAAACAATAAAGGGGATACCACCACAGATTCCACAGAAAAACAAACTACCATCAAAGATTACTACAAACAACTCTATGCACATAAACCAGTAAACCTGGAAGAAATGGATAAATTCCTGGACACTTGCATCCTCCCAAGCCTAAATCAGGAAGAAGTTGAAACCCTGAATAGACCAATAACAAGATCTGAAGTTGAAGCAGCAATTAAGAGCCTACCACCCAAAAAAAGCCCAGGTCCAGACTGGTTCACAGCCGAATTCTACCAGACATACAATACAATGATACATACAGTATCATTCCTTCTGAAGAAATGAAGGAATGGACTGTATTAACAGTCACATTGAAAATTGCTTTATTTCAGACATGTTCCCTTTGTGCACTTAGTTTCATTGTGCCTCAGTTCCTCTCAGCACTAAATCTAAGTGCAAACAAGTATTCATTTTCATACAGGAATTTTTTAAATATATTATTTTTTTTAAAGTTCATTTTTCATTTGCCTCTGCTTTTGCCTGATCCAAAGAGACCAAGTCACTGTACTGGTCCCTTGCAAGTCTTTTAGACAGGTTGTACTGTAGAACTACGTAACTTTCTGTTGAAAGCACTTCCTGTATTCCTGTATTCCAATGTAGGAAGCTAATATAGCAGGACTTTACTTTAAAATATCTTTCAGTGATTGACTCTTCAAAATTGCAGTAAATGTGAAAATACTGTTTTTACAAACTGAAAATACAATAGGTAAGTTGTTGAAAATGGAAAACAATTCAATTTTAATTTTCTGCTCTGAGTATTTAGTAACCAACACTGCGTAAAGCAGGTAGCATCCAAAATAAGAAACTGTTCTTTCTCTAAATCTTCACTCTTACTTCAACTTGTATTTGTGATGTAAAGACCATCCAGTTCTCAGCTTGAATCGGAACATCATGTTAAAACAGTTCTGAGATTCCTTATGAAGTTTCTAATAACTTGTGACTAGACTTTATGAAATTTACAGATAAAGTTCTTCAACGTGATGTCATCTTGTGCCTTTCAAGTAAGTTAAATTTGCTCATACAGCTTGAAAGTTGTATTTGCAAAATTAAGCCTTCGATTTTTATAATGTAAAGATTCCTCAGGAAAAAAAAAATTCAACAAGAAAAGAAAACTTCAGGCCAATATCCATAATGAACATAGATGCAAAATCTTCAATAAAATACTGGCAAACCAATTGCAACAGTACATCAAAAAGCTTATCATCATGATCAAGTAGGATTCATCCCGGGGATGCAAGGCTAGTTGAACATATGCAAGTCTATAAACGTAATCCATCACATAAACGGAACAAAAGACAAAAACCACATGATTATCTCAATAGATGCAGAGAAGGAAGGCCTTTGACAAAATTCAGCAGCCATTTATGCTAAAAACTCTCAATAAACTAGGTATTGATGGAATGTATCTCAAAATAATAAAAGCTATTTGCGACAAACCAACAGCCAATATAATACCAAATGTGCAAAAAGTGGAAGCATTCCCTTTGAAATC